CCCTATTTAACAAAAAAGGAAAGCAAATCGATTCTTGCAGTAATTATTCTGGAATCTATTCTTTTAGAAAGTCCTGTTTTTCACGATGCTAAATAATATGTACCTCCTTAAAAAATGTTTGTGCAGTAATCTACTTGAAACACATATTTGATTACTAATGCTCATTGCAAATGTGTACCAAGAGTCTCAGTGTGAAAAAATTCACACGACAGTGAACGCGCGGATGCATTACTCTTTCCTTTGAAACGCGTTCCAACTAGAAATTCGCTCGTCTTTCCTTCCATTTCCTTTCTTTGCGAACCATTTCTTTCGCCTCGCTGTACCTTTATCGTCTCTGTATACACGTAGAACTGTGTAATTCACTGTAATCCCGGCGTAATGTCCGATAACCTTAAGTATCGCGAAAGCTTTTTGGAAAACGAATGAAACAACGCAGCTTACCGCATTGCCCGTACGATGAAACGATGGTGGGAATAACAATTATTCGGGGCTACTTAAAAACACAACCGTTCCTTAGTTTGCACATGCTACTTTTACTTTTCGCTTCTTCAGACTTGATTTCGTGGAAAGTTGTCGGTAGATATCTGGGCTAGTTGTTATGTTTTTCTGTTCTTTATATTTTATTTTTTTTTTGCCTTTCATATTCGATACTGTTCACCCTTTCCGACCGTAGCAATTCATTTGGAATCATTAACTTACTTAGCATTTATTACTCGTATTATGAGCATGCAGATTCAATGTGGTATCGTATCGTACAGTTTAGTTTTTACCGTTAGATGGATACATTTTCAAAAATAATATTTAGGAATTGTTTAATGAATATTCCTTTATGTTTCTGAACGATTTATTTTATTTATCTTTTTTAATTGCCCTCTTTTCTGACATCCAAAAAATAACTATATGTAAATAAATGTTTTTTTTCGTTCGAAAGGAATAATTCAGTTCGGAAAGGGTTAATAACACCCACTTAAAGTCTATACTTTTCTCTACCGACATCCACTATTTCATATAATTAATCCTTTCATTCCCAAATTATTTAAAAATTACCAAAGAAATATTTTGTTGTTTTTTTGGTCTATATTAGAAGACATATAAATGATTCACAAGAACATTTTAATATTTTGAAACCGTATAATGCCATTTTTCATTTTTTACTTTATTAGAAAGAGAGAAATTACTACTTGTACCCAAAAACACAAAAACTGTAATAACATGGGAACACGTGAACCGGTTATAAAGAACTACCAGGCTCAACTGTGTATCGTTGAAACACATAAGCACAAAATGCTGCTCCAAATAACAAAAATTTAACCTGCATTGAAACGACGAGCCCCTGTAGCATCTAGTCTCCCTTACAGATTTGTCGGACGTACAACAACTCTGGGGAGAACAGGAATTTTGAAACAGACAATCGTGAGTAAGGATTTTTGCTTCGTGAACAGGTTGAGAATATTCTTGGATGGATATACCTAAGAGTAGCAGTTGACGTGAAAGATTTAAACAATCGATTTAATGGCAGAGCGCAGTTCCGAGAAAACCTTTTCGTGTCAGTTGATACTGCAGACGGAGCAGAAATTGACTCGTATCACTGAGTCCGCCATTTGAACGGACGACCTGACAAAGGACAACGTCGATTTCTCTATTTCAATCGAGTGATAACACATCCTGAAATATCCAATGCAAACTATATCCATATTGCAACATATTAAGAATCTTGTCTGTTCGAACTAGAATGAAAAGTGTAAAATAATGTTTTAGAAAATGGACACAAAATTGAGAACAAAAAGCGACAAATTGAATGTTTTGTCCATTGTAGGCTACGAAGTCATGTTTTCCTCCTTTTAAGTGGAGCATATTCCTTGTGACCAAATAAGTTTTTGCACACATTATTAGTTGTTGACACGTTACAATTAAAAATTTGTTTACTGACCTAAACAGTGTACATATTACTTTATGTAACTTATAAATTATTATTACTTAAATTGCGTACACTATGCACTGCTAGTAACGCATATTCTATTGTTTCTAGACTATTATGTATTTTAATAAGAAAATTAATTAAAGATTATTCAAAATAAATTGAAACAGTGGGTGGTAATCACTTTTCGATAATTTCTTCAAACTGTATTTAAAATTGAAGAATATAATTAAAATTATATAATTGTACAGAACTTTAAAGAATATAGTCACTCATATTCTACATACAGTGTGTCTCACGAACTCTGTCCACTTAAATATCTCGGTTATTTCAAACAATACGAGAAAATGTTACCTACAAATTTTGTAGGGTTTAAGAAACTACATAATATGGTATAAATGGTATTTTTACAAGTGGAGGCGTAGAGAAGATCTAGAGGTCATCTTTGCTTTTTTAAATGGAATGTCTAATTTTTTATGCTCGATTTCGATAGATTGGCGTATTCTGAATATAAAAGTACTAAGGTTTATTTGTCCTGAAATTTACTGTTGCTGAGATATTTGACTGTTTTCATTCTATTACTTTCATTATGGAACGAAATTCGAAGATGCTCACTATGTCAAATGTAAACAAACAGCGAAAATATCTCAGCAACGGTAAGTTATAGGACAAATGCACCTTGGTACTTTTATACTGAGAATACGCCAATCTATCGAAATCGGGCATAAAAAATTGGACATTCCGTTTAAAAAAACAAAGATGACCTCTAGATCTTCTCTACGCCTCCACTTGTAAGAATACTATTTATACCATATTATGTAGTTACTTAATCCCTACAAAATCTGTACGTAACATTTCCTCGTATTGTTTAAATCAACCGAGATATTTAAGTAAACAGAGTTCGTGAGACACACTGTATGTATATGTATAAGTAATTACAAATGTTCTAAAATTACGTAGTATCCATCGGTGTTGTTATGTGATTGTACAAATACGCACGAGCAAGGTAGAATTATTGTAGGAAGGTAGCAAATGCTGCTGGCAAGAAGTTCGAGGAAAAATGTAAGCAGAATGCATTTAAAGTGCCGAATTCCGAACATAGCGAGAAAATGAATGTCAGACCGTTGGATTTGACTTGCAGGAGCGGTCTAGTCACGATCCCATCGCCGTTGAAATGTTATTCTGTGCACTGGAACGTGACTGGAACTTGTGAACACTATGGCAGTTTTAGCGGACTCGAGGAACACTAAACTGTGATTGAACGGTGACTGTACCGGGATTGGATCGTTGGTGTAAATGAGGGCTTAAGATGATAGAAGAACATTTAAAATGGGGTAGCCGGCGATGTGATCGCTTTTAAAGAAGGGTAGATGAAACATTTAACCGTTGATATTCTTAAAATTATTTCAATTATCGTCATTTAATTTTCTTTCTTTAATACTATTCACATTATAGGTGGTTTCACGAAATTGTTAACCGGGGAGGATTAGTTAACTCGCTATTTATGGTTGAGGTCATCATTCAGTGACTGTTTATCTTTTTGTTTATATACACTATCGTTCAGAAGTTTGGAGACGGTTAACCCTTTCATTCCCAAGTTATTTAAAAATTACCATAGAAATATTTTGTTGTATTTTTGTGTATATTACATAACATATAAATGATTCACCAGAACATTTTAACATTATGAAACCGTCTAATACCATTTTTCATTCGTTGCCATTTGACAACTTTTTTACTTTTATCACAGGAAAAAATTGTTCAGAATGATGACCTTGACAACATATTTCAAGGTCATTGAAATGGACGAGCATTGCCCAATTCCGAATAGTTACCAAGTTAAAGTCGCCATAATGTCTACATTATTATACATATATACATATGTATCCATACTGCATTTATCCACAATTATTGCGGTACAATCTCTTTACAATCAAAAAATCACTCGATCAACAGGTCAAACATTTCTCTCACATTATTCTCTTCCTCTTTATCTTCTAAGAAATTTTACAATTATTATCCCATCATGCTGTAATATTTGTAATTTTTTCGTGCACCATCTACATTTATTTTTCTCATTTAATCTTCCCTATACGATTCTTTCATATTCATCTTCCTAATTTACTTTTACTGTATTGATTTTTAGCTTGCGACGGACCCAGTTGTCAGTGAAACGTTTTTCATTAAATTGAAGTAGTCCAGAATATTGTCTGTTAAGGGCTTTGAAATTTTCGCATTGTTGTTGTCCATGATGGGTCAAAAGCGACCCACTGTTGACTGAACAAAGGTCAAATATGAACGTACTACGATCGGAACCACAAAACCAAAGCCTCCTCTATTTTCATACGTCACTTATGCGTCTATAGTAGTTTGATCGAGATCGTTTGACGTTCCCTCCATTTTACACGGTAATTTCTGTTCGTATCGTTCCGACGAGACCCCCTTGCTTTGATATCGCAAAACACAAACGCGTGCTCTTTTCTTTGTACGCCCATGGTATTGATTTGTTTTTCGAAAACGTAAAAATATTACGTTTCTCCTCGTACAGAGGTTTATTCTGTCCCCACATTGTACATCAAACGGTAGCTGAAATCAATTTCATTGAATTTCTTGCACACTACTGTTTGAATAGGTGGAACCACGCGAATGGAGTACACTGGAAAAAATTTGTCAACGATCATAGCGAGCAATTACAATAAATATATATACGCACGTTCTTGTTAAAAGGATTTTATAGAAAATTATTAAATCACCTTTGTTTCTTGAATAATTGAGGAAATAATTGTATTATTATGATAGGTTTCGTTTTTAATATCTACAAATTATCTTTAGGTATTGTATTATTCAGTCCTGACACCTTAAATAAACAGATATATTAAATTGGTGAGGGGAAATAATTTAAACATGTTAAAGTTTGATGAGTACTTAAGAATATAATCGTTATTCTAGTCTGCAAACATATTATGAATAAAGTAGATAACGAATATACTTTCAATTATTATATTTTATTTCTTAAAATATTAATAATACATATTTGAAAGAAGTGTATAACTAATGGTCGATTATATTTTTCTGATTACAGGGACTACTACTACGACAGGTGAGTGCGATCTTCATGGTAACCCAGATCACTGCCGTATACTCAGGTACTGCAAACGAACATTTATTACCTAAATCTTTCAAAACTTTCATTCTTTTTATCAACGTTAAGAAATCTTTAAACCTACCCTAAAATTTTTATTTTACAAAAATCGAGTTAAAAAAAATTATTTTTTTTATAAAACCTTTTGCAAAAGCCTTTTCACCTACCGATATATGGAGAACTAAAATCGATATGAAATTTTTCTAATCTTTTTTTCAATACCATTTGCAGTTTAAGCGAATAAGTCAAAGGAACGCTTCAGATAGAAAGAGTAGTATCTTCCTTAAAGTCTACAAGTAGGACCAACCAAGTAGAATAAAATTCTTAGGTTGGTCCCATAAACAATTGGAGAAAGTTACAGAAAAATCGGCATGTATCACTTTGCAAACATTCTTTGTTAGAACAGACCCCACCTAGAAAGCGGGACCTGTGACTGTACCCCCCCCCCCTCTCCCTCCCCAACCCTCCATCCAATGCTGACTTTTTAGGATGTGTTTTATTTTCTTCAAAATACATTCTTCAAAATATCCGCTCTCTCTGGCTTTTATGTTTAAAAATGTCGGTTACTTTTGGGACAGACCGTGTATTGGACCGAGTTTCTGTTACAACAATTGGAAACATCGTTTTTCCGTTCCGTTTATTAACTCATTAATTATTCCGTTTTAAAAATGGCCAGATTGCGAATTTTTCCGCGTAAATGGACACAACGTGAGCGTACAATATCGAAAAGCAGTTGCATAATTTGTCCCCGATGCCAGAGTTATGGCTATCAGACCGTAAACCGTAATTATTATCCCGAATCGTTTCCGGAGCGCTTTACCCCCTCCCCCAGCAACGTTGTACGCGATATGCAAGATGAGTAACGTCGACAATATTGATGTTTATTAACTTATTTTTCCGTATCGTTCCGCTCCAACATGCGGATACATTAATTACCACCTGACGTCGATTAAATTCGACAAATGGAAAATCCACGGACAATCATTTTCAGCCAACTCACCATTTCGAATCGCCCTCCCTCCGATAATCGCAATGAATATGATTTAAAACTGAAGCTACGCGTTCCCTGTTTCTTTTTTTTTTCCTCCATTCATGAAACTTGAATATTTCGAAAATCACATAACGAGTTATTATATTCGCATACCTCTTGCGTGTTGCGCATTTCAGCGAGACCGTTAATTGGTTTAATTAAAATCAAAGCATACAAAACGAGAACAAACCGCGTAGCTAGAAGACGCGTGTAAATTTTCTGCTGCTCGTTTATTTTTTTGTTCGAGGTAAAGTAAATATAAATCGCGTTACCGAACGCAATCCATTTAATTCCGGCGTAAATACATTTCGCGGAAAAAGAATCGATGGTGAATGAAAAAAAAAAAAGAAGTGGTTCGACGTAGACGGACGGAAAGGGAGGCCAGCGAGCACGAAAAGGATTTAAACTCCACCTAAGATCTTGTATCATCGTCAAAGAAGCCTTTCGGACGGTTCATTTAAAAGCTTCGCTGAAATTCTTACGAGCGCTAAAAGCGCTGTTTTTTAGTAGGAAAATACTGCGACTTTTCAGCAAAACATATGTTTCCTCCCCGTAGCTCAAAGATGTATTAGGTTTCAGAAACGCATTAGGTTCTCTTAGCGGATGAAACACCGTTTTTTGGCCGTACATCAAAGACGTCTCACTGTCTTTTTACAGTTTCGCCAACGGATTGGCTCTCTCTTACATACTTGCACTCACGAACTTTCGAAATAACAGTTAAATGTAAACAGTATTTGATTATTCTTATGATCCTTACATTTATCGGATTTCTATAAACAATTTCTTAAATTTTAATATGAAGTCTGTGGTCTGAAAGCAAAACGTGATACGTGGAGTTTTCTTAATTTTTGTAGGACAACAACTTTAACGTTTGTTTAGCTGGGAAAAATTCCATTCGTTTTAAAAATACAATTTTTCTTATTAGTTGTAAAAAGTGGTTGTTAATTCAAGTTCAGTTAATTCATTCATGTTGTTCCTCAAACAAATTAAATTGATTAAATATCTCAATTTTAATGTAACAATTTTAAGCCTTCATATAGCACTAATGTTTCCATCACACTGTTTTGGTTGACATATACAGGCAATTCCCCTTATAAGTATACATAATTCCTAAGTTTCGCTTGACACAGTTTCGATACAACACAGAATAAAGTAACCGTGTTATAGGAAGGTTGATTACACAAATGTTTATCAAAATTCTTACTGTAATGGATTATTACGAAAACTAACCAAAATCTTTACTGTAATGGATTATTACGAAAACTAAGTATCAAAAACGTCTAATTACTAGACTGCAGAAGTTTATACAAATTCACAATTTTAGATATTAATATCCAAAAATGAAATCGGGACAGACTTTTGAATTCTGTACTAGATAATACATAAACAATATTAAACTTTATTAAAACCTTTACATTGTTCAAGTAAAAAATGTTACACATACATAAACATCTGCAGTCTACTGATTACAATGTTACATTACATTTATGTAAAGCTTTCGGTAACTCGTCAATTTATTTTAACACTAACCGTACCGAGACTTTTATATACCTATTTGCACCGTATTTAAAACCGATCATCTAACCAATGGTCGGTACGTTAGTGTTAAAAGCTTTAGATGTACTAAATTAACATTTTCTCCATACAATTTTAATGTCAGGTTCTGGTTTCACAGAGAACCTTCCATCGAATACAGCACAGAACGAATTAACCGTGTTAAGGAGTTTATCCAAATTCAAATCTTTATAGACGAGTCTCTGATTGCATTAAACATACAATCACAACATTCTTACGACATTTATTTAAAATTATTATTTACTTTCTTACATTCTGTGCACTTAAGTATGCTGCAAATGCTGATTGCATTGTTTCGAAACAATGTTTTCACCAATACAATAAAGCAAATTTAATACGGAAGATTCCATCGTTCATCGCAAGTAAGCTTCGAACCGATCGTGAATCCGGACAATTTTAGCGCCTGAAAAGTTCTCGAGTAGTGGACACAGGCAAAATCAATACACGCCGAATAGAATGGCGGGATTAAGCATGCAATAAATAGTCCCCGTTCTTTTTCGCCCTCTTTTTTTCATCTCTAGGCGCGACGCCGTTGGCTTGCTCGCGGATCCTAAATTATACGGGAATTCTGTTCGCGAACGTGCGAACAAATAGGATAAAAATGGCGTTTCAACTGGCTTCCTACGTGTTTCTCCTGAAATATATACGCGGGGTTCCGCGGCACGGTACACGCGGTGCTTTAATAATTATTATCCACGGTCACGTGAACATAATAACGTTGGCGTGCTTTTGATAATCGCACGTGCGCCGGCGCCGCCTCTTTAAGCCGCCTTTTTTACCCATTCAATCAGGGGGTTCTTTGTTCGCTTCTTGAGCGACCCAGAAGGCGATTAATTGGAGACGTATCTCGAGGGTGGAACAAGAGAGAGAGAGAGAGAGAGAGAGAGAGAGAGAGAGAGAGAGAGAAGAAAAAAATGATTGCGTGCTCCCACCGAGGTAATTAAGTGTTAATATATCCTGTCGTGAGCGTTTGCATCGACTAATTAACCTTTTACGCTTCGTTTGCCGCCATTCACGAAAACATATCCGTGACTTGTTGCTCGAGAGGGTTGACGTTGATATCTCGAAGATCGAAAACTGTCGTTGGAGCGGGATAGAGTATGTTGGCTTGACGCTACGAAAAGGAACATGCATTTGTGATCTAATTATTTTGACGACGGATTCGTTGAAACGAGACACTTATGGTCGAGCAGGTGTTGTATTCGTGAGTTGAATACAGCAGAGCCTCCCGTATCGGAACACCCATTATTTTCTACTATCCGAACGTTCTACTAAAGTAACATCTTTCCTATACAATTTTAATATCGGGTTCTGGTTTTATTTATTTATTTAGTTATTAAACTGGTAAAGTCCAGTATACATATATAATAATTTAGTGAAAATAAAATTACAAACAGTTACAGGAACATAGTATACAGTATGGAATTAATCGTAATAGAGAATTTTTAATTAATTTTACAGAAAACCTTCCATCGAATACATTGCATCACTTTGCAGCAAGTAGAAATAGCGAATAATAGACAGACGTAACGTCAATCTCATTCCAAAATGTTCAAGCTTGCCATTTTCGAAACCAATGTCCTATATCAAAAACTGTTATTCATCACTTATAACTTATTTTTTAAATTACAATACACACTGCATTATTAATATCATATCAATGTCTTTGGTATAAGAATCATTTAATCTTCACTGTGTGGAAAAATGAACGTCAAAATTGTCCAACGATCTCAACCAGAGATTGAAAACCCATTATGCTATTTACCGAAATAACTCCCTTACATCAGTTCCGATTACGATTGCAGTCTGTTATTATTATATCGGTTCTGTATTGGTTAAAAATGGTTTTTAGTTTTAGATCAATTCTATCATTCTATTTCCGGTTCGGTTCGTTTTACACCAAATGTAAAAAGGGATACTCACTTACACGGACGAGTTTGATTTACTTCGGATCAAAAGGCTCAGCGACTTCAGAGTCTCAAGGGTCGATCTTCGTTTACTTATAAGTTAATACATTTCTTTAGCGCCGAGTTTTCGACGGGTTCTAGTTGGAGTAAACCAAACGTGAAGGTGTATACTATTTCTTACACTTCATGTAGAAAGAACTGAACTGAAAGATAGAATGATGGAACTGATCCGTAAAGTCGTTGTAGGCCGACATAGAATCGGTACCGAAATGATTCATAACGGATTTGAAAACAGTTTTGAATCTATACAGAATCGACTTAAAGTCATTATAGAATCTTCTTGCAACCAATATAGAACCAATATGGAGTCGACATGGAACAGATATAAAACCGACCCAGTATCAACCTAGAATCGACATAGAATTAACGTAGAATTACCCTACAAT